CAGTCGCAAGGAAATGGATATTTTCTGCACAGAACCTTCAACGCTTGAGAGACTTGTCATTTGTTGCTTGATGAACAGGCAACAGGTTCCACTCCGTAGCTTGGTTGAATTCGAGCGATTTTCCTCTAACTAGATGTATTTGTTGTGTTGCTTCGGTTATTGCCGTTTTTGTTGGCTATTCAGCTTTACCCCTTTCCTTTTGGATTCCTTGTCTTTTTCTTCAGCTCCCTGTGTATGACTCGGTTTTTACCTGATCTATGTGCCTGTTTTGAGCGTTCAAAGGCGAATCCAGGGTATTTGATTAATCACCTGGCTGTTTTCTACTTTCATTTTTTTCCTAAATACGGCACCTAGCGCAGAATGCCGATTTTCATCTGTATCCAGAGATTTCCCTTAGTGATTGTTTACTTAACGGTGTGCCTCTTTTTGCCTTTTAGAGCCTCGGTCTCGCGGCAGCCGGGCTGTTCTTCGTTATCTCTCGTGATCGTGACCCAGACCTACTCACGGCTGAATCACTTGCCGTGCTCCTACAGCTGCTTCATGCGCCAAGCAGTACGTCTGATTCCCTTTTCGTGTTTACTCCTGCCTCATGTAGCACTTGAGTTGGTACCGAAATAGGCCGCATTACGGTAGGTCCGGTGTTTTGGCGCGCCGAGTGTTTGTTTAAAGAGCAAAAGTCGATCGTTAACCGCCTTGTTGATATACAAAGGATGGGCGACATGAGCAACTCCCCTTCCTATTCGTAGGACCAACTACCCAAAGGTAGGACCATTTGACAAAATTACCTTCCAGGACTAATGGTCTACATTCATTCCTCTGTCGCCTTGCTTTTATTTCATTTCTGTCCGGCCGTCTATCTGGGTTCCATCTAGCTGCTGGAAATTTGAGCGATTACCCTTGACTGCTCCCTAGTGGATCTTTGGGAATGGTTCAAGTCTGGTGTCTCTTCAGTTGGCAACGGCTTTCTTGAAGACCCCGAGATTGGAGTAGCTGCCGAAAGGAAACGTGGTCCCAACTATTCATCTTTTAGTGTCTGTAGCATATTCTTTCTTCTGTGACGCCTAGATGTGGAAATCCGTCATTAATTTCCGGCTTTTTGTTCCTTTGGAACAGCTTTGTTTACCCATACCTAATCACTCTTGAAGACGTAATAAGAACGAGATAAAAGCATTCGTCTTTCTTTGCTAATCGTCTCCTTGATCCCTCTTCTGCTTTGCTTATCACACTTCTTCCAGCGGATTGTAGCAAATCGTTGATCAGACGATGAATATCCCCTGATCCCAATGGTGAGGGGTGCATTCTGGATGAGATTCACAATTATTCCTGCCACTCTCAGACGGGTTGCATTGATTGAGGATCCCTTTTGGAGAGGTTGAGCTGAGGGTTGGATGGCACTTGAATCACCCCTGCTGAATCTCGGTAGCCCCAAATGTAACCCCCCCGTGCCCTCCACACCCATGCGTCCATCTATCCGCCGCGTTATTGGTTACTCTGGTCGAGCGCGTGTGCGTGCGTATCGATCACCTGGCAAGTACTTTGACACTTGGTAAAACTTGACTCGTGTCATGTGTTGTGTGGTACAGTGTGATTTGAGTGTTGATGGTTTGACCTATTTGTTACTTTGCTGATTAGTTAGTTGCTGGCTAGCTGAAAACGCTTCTGTGTTGTGCCGTTCCAAGTCATCAACAGCTCAGTGGAGACCTTAATCTACGAGAAGGCAGCTGTTGAATAAAATCGGTTAGAAGTATTTGAATCTCTCATCGGCACTGCAGCTTTCGAGCATCCTTTGTACATACGAATGAATGTTTGTCCGATTTGTGTCCTGCACTCTACTTGTGGATGAAAGACTGGAAGTGAAACGATGTAGATCCCTTATATGGCTCTCCATGACGCCTAGAATTATGATCAAATTTGGTTTCCAAGTGCCTTCAATATCAGATAGGTGGTCATTAATGGCGGATAGGAATAAGTCCTTACTATTGTTGACTCATCTGATGGCGCCCCAAAACCTTCGGCTATCCACTTCTGCGTCTTGGTGAGATAAGTAGAACTACACCTGAGCAACTCTTGGTTTAGAGCATGATAACCGTCTTCAGTAGTTGGATGTAAATCGTTACGTTGATTTTAGGACCCATAAACTAATTTTTTGAGCTCTCTCAGGCCTACAACTATTCTCGATGATTCTCTGGAATAAAGAATAAAACCCCGAAACCTCCGGTAATCACTAAAATGTTTTGTTTGTCATAGCTATTACATCTCCGTCACAAGGGGTCTACTTTCGATGTTGAAGTAGGTCACAACGGAAATCGTAGGACAGAAAAGACTAGAAGGTCTATTTACGATTCTGGCCGCTTGCATTTTTGTCGCAGAAAAGTTTTTAGCTGTCTAGTTCTCAAGCAATCCCATAATAATCCTTGAGGCCACCTTTAGACGTAGGTCAATACGCACTTTTATCTGGAATCCAAGAGCCGTAGATGGCATGATTAGAACTGCCATGTGGAGGAACCTCATTTATCTAAGCTAAGGCCTGGTGATCCCCTCTCTTTTTATAAAAATGCTTCGAC